CCCCAAAACCCCAAAACCCCTAGATTCTCAATTCAGTAAAGTAAATATATTTGTAAATTGAGTTATGAAATCAAGTAAAGTAAGATAAATTAAAAGTCAATTGTAGCAATACTATCTAAGATTAAGAATTTAATCTATCGGCAGTAAGTTGCTAATAAATATTGAGCTACAAGGGTAGGTGACGGACGTTTCATTTTCAAGTACGTCTAGGGTTCATTGTCAGACCTTTATCAGTTGTATGAAGAGATGCTAGAGTGCACTCTTAACGAGCTGGAGCTTGCACAGATATTAAGCAGGTGCATATTATCTTTTACATAGCTGGAGATGTGCTTTTATCCACTTATACTTAGCAGTTTTCATTTCCATGACTGAATTGATAAACCGCATCTAGATCCAAATAATTAGAAATAGTACCGTTGAATTCAGCATCTTTATCAAATAGTCCAACTACAACTATCATCTCTCTCATTTCTTTACCCTTGACATTAAGTTTAGATCTCATATAGCCTTAGTAAGTTTTTAATGTATCATTTATCTCCAAGTTGAAATATTTAGATTGCTTTGCTCTTATCATATCTTTTTTCAAATCACCTGTAAGATATATTTCAGATTATCCTTTTACTGGTCTCTGATAAAGAGTGGTCCAAAGATTTTCATTTTAATCGGGAACTAAAGATTTGAGATTTGCACTCTTGTAATCATGCTCACTAGGTTTGAAGCTTGTTTTATTATTGACGTCAGTAATTATAATTTCTTTAGGAGCGTAAATTAAAACTGTGTAATCACGAGTTTCACACTAATCAAAACTTGGAAGATATGATATCTCATAAGTTCCTGGTTATAAAGGGGCATTAGATTAGTCAATCGTACCTGGGTAATCATCGTAATATTTGAGTGTTTTAGCATCATTTACAGCATCTAAAGGTCTCAATCTGATTTCTTAAATTTTGGGGGTTTTGCATTTAAGTGAGTACATTCTTGGCTCGGTATTTAGAACTCTTATATAAAGTGGTGTAGCTTCAGTCAAAGTAAATCTATATTTTGCTGGGTTAGTCACTGATGCCTAAGTATCGTTTTATTTATCATAATAACTGCTTACCCAACCTTTTCTATATTAACCAAAGTCGAGATCACTAAAGGTCATAGGTATTTCAAAATCTTCAAGATAGTGTATACCATCACTCTTAACAGCCATATCAATTTGCTTGGCATATGTAATTCCATTTTTACCGATAGTATTCCAAATACCATTTTTGTCAGCCCATTTCCCGCTAAATTCTCCATCATTACCATGTGGATTCTTAAATTTAATGAGACTTATTTGCTTTCCTTCAGCTGTAGTAATGATATGATATGAAAGGATGGAGTATGCATGAGCACAAGGAAGATTGAATTAGCAAGAGTCAGTGTCTTTTTTCCCTGTACTACCACCTGGTTATGCTCCAATTATGAATCCAGAGTCTAGTGCTTTGATAACCAAATTCCATGCTACAGTGGTATTCATGGTATTTACACTTTGTTTTCGAATTGTGGGAATGTTCAATAAGAATTAAAACGTCTCAAACTGATTTCCACTAGCAATCTTTTCATAGTTACCGTTCACTTTAGCCCAAGCTTTTTCAAGGAGAGCTGGCCATAGTGCCCAATCACTGTGGACTCTAGTGAAAGCTGGTAATTTCTCTAGTCTTGCATAGGGCACATAGTCATCTATAACAACTATTTTAGGGATGCCCCTGATGTAGACATTAAAAGCATAGATTCCAGCATTATTCACATGCTAGTTCACGAAAATCCTTTTGAATCTTTCTTCATCTGCTGCAACAGCTGCTAAAGGCGCCACAAAGTAGCAATCGCCTAAAAAGCCCTGGACTGTGTCTCCAACATTTTCTTTATCTGATGATCCGAAAAGCGTACAGTTCTCACAGATATCCGATAATTTTCTCCAAGGGTAGTCAGCATACATATCTACTTTACCCTTTGTAAAGTTTGTGTTTCTCCATGCAATAGATTCTGGATTTGGCTTAAAATCGGTATCATTCCAATAGATTGAGAAGTTCTCTATAATACCTTTTAAATTGGGTTAATTCCATTTTTAGATGTTATCTATGGCTGTTGTACATGTATATCCTCTTTCGTTTGTAATTTATTATGATACAGATTGTGCGAGTAGCTGAATTTTTGAGCTTCTTGAAGTTTTAATTGCATTAGCACACCCAATAATGAGTGCTAAAGTTGACAAGATTTTCCCTCTCATTAGATAGTTAGATAATATAGTACTATATAGTGATTAATTATATATTAAGCCTTAAATACGTCACTAACCGAATAAAATAAAGTTAAAAATTAATTAATTGGATTGAGATCGCAAAATATAGGTAATATATCGTTATTCTATCAATTAATATTGTAAATAAATTATGTTTATATGATTAAATCGTTCTTAATTTTAAAATCTGCCTTAACAATGCTTCATGGGGTTTTGGGGTTTTGGGGTTTTGGGG